GGGGGTCTCCTCTGAGGGTGCTGGGTGGTCCTTGGCCCCCCCAGCCCTGTCCTCGCCCCCGGCAGGGTCACGCTGCGGAGGATGCCCTCCATCCGCCAGACGCTGCAGGAGATGGGGGTGAAGGTGTCCGACGTCTTCCCCGAGCTGAGGCAGAGCAGACGCAGCGGCCTGGCCACCCCCAGAAACGGGACGGCTCCCACCCTCCTCACTAACTACCTGGACGTGAGTTTTTTCCCGCGTGGGGGTTTGTCCCCCCAACAACAGCCCCACACCCCTCAAGTCCCACCCGCTGCCCCCCACGGGGTGTTTGCTGCCGGGTCTGGGGGACCCCCCCCTCTCCTGCCTGAGCTGTGCCCCCAGCGATGCTCCCCGCGCCTCTTCCAGACCCAGTATTTCGGGGAGATCAGCATCGGTACCCCCGCGCAGACCTTCAAGGTGGTTTTTGACACGGGCTCGGCCAACCTGTGGGTGCCATCCTACAAGTGCTCCCCCCTCTACAGCGCCTGCGGTGAGTACGGGGGCACAGCCGGGACTGGGGCTGACCCCCCCCAGCCTCAGCTCAGCGAATGTGGGCAAGTGCCTCCATCTCGAGGGCCACTGGAAGCGGGCTGGGCCGGGTTTGCCTTCACACAGCCGGGGCTGGCTGTGGCTGTCCCGTCCCTGGCCCTGGGGCAGGCTGGGTTCATCCCCCTCCCGGAGGCTGGGGGAGCAGAGACCCTTAATCCATCCTGCTGTTGCTGCCTCCTTCGCTTTCTTTGACTCACCTTCTCCCTCTCCCCAGTTTCCCACAGCCGCTACGACTCCTCCAAGTCGCGGACGTACATAGCCAACGGCACGGGCTTTGCCATCCGCTACGGAACGGGGAGTGTCAAAGGCTTCCTCAGCCAGGACATCGTCCTGGTGAGTGTGTGCCCCAAATTCACACTCACTGGCTCAGCAAGGAGATGCCCACATACGGTTCTGCTCCCCCATATGAGCATCCCCTTTTACCCAAGAGTAGGGGGGGGCTCTTTGGGGGATTTAGCCCCACCCTGCAAGGACACTTTTGCCCTTCCCCAGGTGTCAGACATCCCCATCATCCAGGTCTTTGCCGAGGCGACGGCGCTGCCTGCCTTCCCCTTCATCTTTGCCAGGTTTGACGGGGTGCTGGGGATGGGCTACCCCAGCCAGGCCATCGACGGCATCACCCCCGTCTTCGACCGGATCCTCTCCCAGCAGATCCTCAAGGAGGACGTGTTCTCCGTCTACTACAGTCGGTGAGTCATGTGGGGAGCAGGTGCCGGGGCTGGGGAGGTGTTTGTTTTGTAGGGCAGTGCTGGGTTTGCATCTCGGGACTGGGAATGAGCCGTGGCTGGGGCTGTGGGACCTGGTGGGGTGTGGAGGGTGCCTGGAGGAGCTGGGGAGGAATGAGGCAGCACAAGAGGCAGATCCAGGTGGATGCTTATCTGGAGCTGCTGGACAGGGAGTGCCGAGGCCGGGAGCGCTGCTCCCTGCTCGTTTGTCACTGTCAGATTGCACAAAGTCACCAGCTCTGCTGGTGGGGCTGGAGCAACCACAGCCAGGAGCGGGTTTGGTGTTTTATCTGCAGACCAAACTGAACAACTCAAAAAAATCTATTGAAGAAAATTCTGCACCAGCAGCCAAACTCTTTTCATTTCTTGCCCCAAACTGTCGTGTCCCAGCATCCCACCTCCCAGCAGCACCAAAAGCTGCAGGAGCAGCGGGAGGCCTCACCCTGGCAGAGCAGGAGTGCTGCCCCCACCCCCTCCCCAACACTCCCCACTGGCCCCAGCAGCCTGGCAATGGGCAGTAACACACCCACAAACACATGCTGGTAGCCTTTTACCCCACCTAAAGGTGGATACATCAATACTGAAGAAGTCCTAATGATGCTGGCTGCATTCGGGGTACCGCTTGGGTCCCCTTGGTGCCCTGGGGACACAGCTCCCCTCGGGCCACGGGCTTATGGAGCATCTCTCTCTTTGCAGAGCTTCGAAGTAAGAAGACAAAAAGCACGAGCGCTCTTGAGACAGCACCCACTAACAGTCACCCCTGCACCCCAGGGCTCACACTCCGCAGAGCCCCCGCGCCGGGCGCTGCCCGCACGCCTGCCCCGCACATGAGCCAGCACCGACCTGCTCAGAGACCTCAGCATGTGTCACCTCCTCTCCCACGGGCTCTCGCACCCCTCTGAACTAACTCAGGGTTCCTTCTCGCTCCCCGCCGCGGATCACAGGGTCAGCAGAGCCTCGTGGCTGGGGCTGGTCCCTTCTCGCTGTTTTTTTTTTTTTTTTT